TGTTTATTAAAATACAATTTAAAAATAATATCTTCATAAAAAGTGATAAAAGCAAACATGTATCAAGATATCAGCAGGCTAGTATTTAAGCATTATAGCACTGACATAAAATGAAAAAAAACATTAAAAATATTACCTCCGGCTAAAAGGCAAGTTGTGCAGATTTCGTTTCTTACTAACATAATCACCGATAAAACAACACGAAAAATGCCTCTGTAACATCGTAAAAATACGAGCTATAAATTTCATTTTAAAACGTGTGCTTAGCAAATCATTAGGAATAAAACGTTCAACGATCATATCACTTCACAAAAGTTATTGCATGTCTGGAAAACATTTTTATAAAACATAAAAGTTTCAGAGTACAATCCTCAGGTGATATCATAATGCGGAATATAAGCATGTGTGTGATGTACTGCTACTGTGCCAACTCCTTCCCCTTCGAAGAAGAAGTACCTGAAACCAAAACTGAAAACTGTAAGCACGAAGCTTAGTGAGTTCCCCCATAATACCTCATATCATACAACATACAATGAACAACTAGGAGATACGGGCCTCGCCCACACTCCGCTAACTGGGAGATACGGGCCTCGCCCACACTCCTCTATCTGGGAGATACGGGTCTCGCCCACACTCCACTCTCAGAGAGATACGGGCCTCGCGCACACTTAGCTGCTAACCCATAATATACAAGTATCACATAAGCATATCATATAAACACATCTCATAAGCATATCTCATGAGCATATCACATAAATGTAAACATACCAAGATAATTATCACAAAGACAATTATCTACCAACTACCCCTGCTGATGGGCCGGTATTGTGGCCTTAGACCCATCCCTAATGGAAGGTAAGTCACCTCAAAGTAGCTGCTGATCTGTGTGGGAACTGACTGTCTGCTGCTGCTGCTACCGCTCCGATAATCCTCCGGCTATAATTCCCACAAAACCCTTAGTCAAATACTGCTAACCGACTTCAGGGTAAAATGACCATTTACCCTTTACCAATCAAGAGTCAAGTCAAAGTCAATTGTCAGTTGGCCCGACTCGCCGAGTTGACTTGTCAACTCGCCGAGTCCCTATCCCTTTGTCCGACCATAAACTCATCTCTACTCGTCGAGCTAAGCATTGACTCGACGAGTTCTCCCTCTAAACTAAAGGCCAATAGTCCTTCATCCTACTCGCCGAGTTGTATGAACAACTCGCCGAGTTCATCTTCATCCGAAGAACACTCTAAGCTGTGACTCGCCGAGTTGTTCTTAAGACAAGAAGATTGCCTTGAACTCGCTGAGTCATGGCACTGACTCGTCGAGTTACTTCTCGAGTGAGTCTAGCTTTCGACTCGCTGAGTCCTAACCCACGACTCACCACTTCCACTCTGCAAGCACAGAAAAGGGGAAAACTCGGGGACTCGCGACTCGACTCGTCGAGTCCGAGGGACGACTCGCCGAGTCGGCCACATGAAATTACTATACACTCGATTTTTCTTGAATCCAGCTCATGCCATTCACAGATCTGGGTTTATAGGGCATGGATTACACGTAAAGTTTCCAACTTTACGTGTAAAAATGCACCAATGAAGGTTTTAGGGCTCAAAATGCACCAAAAGGGGTAGATCTAGGGCTTTCATGCAATTTACTCCCATAAAGGTTATAGATATGAGCTTCTGGAGCTCAAACATGACTAGATCTAGTGGATAATCAACCTATTACGAATTCTACTTCATGCACAAGCTTGGAAAAGGTTCAAGAAGAGCTCAAGAGGTGCTCTAATGGGGTTTTAAGCATACAAACAGAATGGAGCAGAGATATACCTCAAAGAACTCTGAAATAGCACCAAGATATCTGGTCTCCTTCTTCTCTTCTTGATCCACTCACCTTCTTCTCCCAAAATCTTCAAGGAATCACTCCAAACACTTCAATCTCACAAGAAACGAGTTAGGGTTTGACGTAGGGCGCTTTGAGGGTGAAAGGGGGCGAGCTTGGGCCGCACAAGCTAGCTTAAATAGGGGGCAAACCCTTGAAATTAGGGTTTCATCATACAGCGGGGACTCGCCGAGTCGCCAACTTAAACGTGTTCCGGATCTCGTCTCTACTCGGCGAGTCGGACCTCCAACTCGCCGAGTCCAAGGCTAAAAATGACAAATACTTAAATAAATTTTACGTACCAGGAACCAGGTGCTACACTTGTAGCACACATGAAGCTACTTCTTTTCCGACGACCAGTAAGTGGCGGCGGCGCGAGGGGGGGGTCACCAGAGATCGTAGATCTGACACTGGTGCGTCGAACGACAATGAAGGCGACAGAGATTCACGATTGTATTGGTGATATGATTTCAGATCTGAGATATAGTGCATGTGGATGTGGTGGTCATTTTCATCGGTTTCTCTAAAGATCTGAGATATTCTGGCGATTTAGATCTAGATATGATATTTTCCGGTGGTTTAAAGAGAAAAATAGAAGTTTATGTGGTGGTTTGACGGTGTTTACAGAGATTTTAGAGAAAATGGATCTAAAGGCCACTAACGTTGTTGGTGGTGGTTTGGAATATTCACTGAAAATCGGAGCAATGGTGGAGGAGAGAAATCGGAGGTTTTAGATCTGAAATTCTGAAGATAGATTTAGGTGTTATCTTCGGTGATGTAACAGGAAAGAAAAGTGACGGTGATGGGCTGGCCGTTGTCGGAGTTGAGGTTGTCGGTGATGGTGAAGCCATCATTGGCAGTGGTGGTTGTGGTTGTGGTGTTCATCAAAACTTCTTGATATATATGAGAGGATATTATTTTGTTTTTGGAATATTGTAAGTAAATGTATCAGATCTAAACTTATGGAATGAGTTAAAAAAAACATTACGTCCTTTTATCTTTTTGTAACTTATAAAAGAATTTAAAAAAATCAAAATATTAAAAAAGATAAAAATATATTTAAAATTACTGGTTCTTATGGTTCTTAATCTTTTTTGGTTCTCATTTAAACCTTTACATATATATATATATATATATATATATATATATATATATATATATATATATATATATATATATATATATATATACAGAGAGAGAGAGAGAGAGATATTGGATTGACATCTATTGTGTGGATGTATGAACAATAATTCTGTGATAATGACAAAAAAATATGTTGTTTAATAATATGAATATGTTTAATCTTGTATAACTATTATCATTATCACATATTCTTACTAATTAAATCGTGTATAAGGTTATTATAGTCCTATTATTATTATTCTTATTTTGTCAGAATGTTGTAAAAATATTTATTGAGTCATATTCTATAAGAATGAAAATGAGTGAAAAACGATGTGTGAGAACAAAAATAAATAAAAATTATTGAGAATGCAGTAAAATGATGATAGTTGTGTAAGATTGAACATATTCACATTACTAAACAACCTATTTTCTTAGTAGTTCTCATAGAATAGCACTATCCACACGTCCGCACAATAGTTGTCCATCCATATATATATATATATATATATATATATATATATATATATATATATATATATATATATATATATATATATATATATATATATATATATATATATATATAGGGAAATAATCAAATGAGAACGCGGGAAAAAATCTAGTACATTAAATATTTATAATCTAAGGATCTCATTGTTAATTAATTTAAAGAAATTAATGAATGAATTTAATTGTTTTTTAATTAAAAAAAATATAAAAGGGTATTCAAGTAATTTTATGATGTCATCCAATTTGAATATATCGAGTAAATTTGAAAATTAAAAGAAACCGTTCCTATGTTTTAGTAATCACAGTTAACTTCTAATGTTTTGGATGATTCGATCATATCTTGAAAGAAAAATAGCATCATAGATAAACGATTATACCACATTCGATTAATACTGTTCATTCGTGAAGAGTTATTTTGCATTCTGAACTTTGTGAAGCGTCGTAGGTGGAGGAATGTCGTTGTTGATCAATCGAAGTGGAAGAAGTAAGTTTTATAATCTTTATTGAATGTCGATTGACTGGAAAACGTGTGTATTAGTGTGTTTAGGTTTTTATAATGTGTACATTTGACGATTCTTAAAACCCTAGAAGTTGGGTCTTTCGTTTTTTCTTTATATCGTCGATTATGAACTGTAGTTATTCTTCATCTCTGATGAATGTTGTTTTAAATGTTTTGTTTCACAAATAACACGTTGGTGTATTTGATTGTTAAAATGAAAATGGTAATTATAGATGAGTTCCGAATTTACGGTATTGTGATATTGAATGTGCTTAAAAATCAACAGTTTATGATTGTGTTTGATAGTTATAAGATGCATATACATGTGTAATCGTAGTCGACTACTTTGAACTGAAATAAGGTTACGTAAACCCAAAAATTAGGGCTTTTTTTTACATCATAAGTAGCACAGGAAGAGTAATTGATGTTAGTATTCGATTGTGAATGTTTTTTAGTTGACAAATAATAGCGAATTGTGAGAATGTCATTCATTAATAATGATTACTTGTAAAGTCCGATTGTGCGACAGAAGTACTTTTCTAGTATTAATCCTTGTTGTTGGTTGTATGTTTTGTATATTGTTAAAGTGATATTCAGTTGTGAATGGGTACTTTATTGAGTATGTATGTGGTTTTGATCCTGTACATGGTTTTGTATGTAAAGATTAATGATGTAGGAGTGCAAACTGTTTTATGTGGGTAAGTTAATTGCACTGTTTGTTTGTTGATGATTGTTGTAAACATTACTCTGATTTTGGGGCGAAGAGGAGTAATTGATGTTAGTATTCGATTGTGAATGGTGTTTATTAGAAAAATAATAACGAAGGGTATAAATGTCATTTATTACTACTGATTACTTGTAAAATCCGATTGTTTTTGAGACTAAGTACTTTTTCTAGTATTATTCCTTGTTGTTGGTTGTATGATTTGTATATTGTTAAAGACATAGTCATTTGTGAATATGTACTTTGTTGACTATGTTTTGTATGTAAAGAATAATGATGTATGAGTCCCAACTGTTTTACGTGAGTAAGTTAACTACACTGTTTGTTTATTGATGATTATTGTAAACATTCCTCTGTTTTTTGGGTATGTGTTTAATGTAAAATGTATAATGGATGATTATTTGAGTTGTTAATGTTTCAATTCTGAGTTATAAATGATTAAGGTATATTAATGCTATTATTAGGTAGAAAGAAAAGCAAGAGGATATTACTAAAGACGACATTCAGCAAATTCACTAATGAAGAATCCAATCCATTGCTTATTGATATTGAAGATGCAGACAATGAAGGAAACGAACTAGTACAACCTCAGATTAGAAGAGAAGGACGGAAGAAGTTTTCAACACCTAAGAAGAAAACTAAAAATCAAACTGGTGGTGATGATGATTATATGAAATTTAAAATTTTAAATATCAATTTGAATCTATAGTGATTATGTGTCTTATTTTTTGGACAGGTGTGGGGGACGTGTTAATCGCACACCAGCTCATTCAATGTGAAGGGGTCTTAAAGTTGTAGTTTTGAGCTCAGATTCAAGTAATGTACTTGTTTAGAAATAAATTTATTTAGAGTTTGATGTTGTAGTTAGTTTTAATAACTTGTTTGTTTTGTATTTATTAATAGAAAAAAACAGGAAACCCAAAGTCAATGTGAAGAAGGTTGATGGAGGAAATTCAAGGTTTTCTAAAGCTAAAAAAAATATACAGAAAAAAAAGGTATGAATGATGATTTCATGAAATGTAACTTGTATATTAAAGTATCTTCAGTGATGATTATGTTGTCTAATTATTGACAGGTTTCATTGAAAGTTATGACTTGACAGAAGACAGTGGACTAAATAGGGAAAATGAATTGAGAACAAAAAGACGTTTTGATAGATGTAAAACAAAAGGTGATGAAGTTGTTGTTATAAACTCATTTTCAGGTAGTGTTATTTTCTTTAATAAATTTAGTATAGCATTGGTTTGGTAATTTATTTATAATCATTTATTGTGTTACATTTGTCTTAACAGGAAAAGATAATGTTACTGTCAAGAACCTTGACGAAGATGAAGACTCTGATTTTGAAGCTGACATAACTGTGGTAACAAGGAAAAAGAGAAGGCATCATACTTCATTCAAAGATGATGAAAAAGAAAATGTGAAGAAATTTAAAAGACAAAGGAATAAAGAAGGAAATGTATTGAAGCCAAGAAAACATCCTAAAGTTGTAGCAAGTGGTGCAGAAGAAGCTAAGCGAATACAAGTACGGACATCTCCAAATGTTTTGTACAGTTGTATGCATAACCTTAGCAAGGAACATGAAGCTTATATTTCTTCTATTGGTCTGAGGCATTTGTTGAAGATGAAAGTGGATGGGTGTGCATCAATTATGGGGCATTATATTGTAAGGAATTTTAACGCAGATAGGATGGTACTCAAACTTCATCATGGAGAGATACCAATCAATTGGCAAGTTATTCACGAAATGTTGGGTCTGCCTCTGGGACATGCTACAATAAAGTCTATGCCTTATAGAGAAGTCACAGATGACACGATAACTATTTGGAGAAAACAATTCGAAGATGAAGATAATATTAGACCAAGGGCAGTTCAACAAGTTATTATGCAGTCAACACGTGCGTATTTAATGTTTAAAGTAAACATCTTTGTCATGTTGTGTAATACACTAGGTCAGTCGATGAGCATGGGCACATGTGACCTGTCGATGTTTTCAAAAGTGACGAAAGATCTGGATCTAAGTGACATTGATTGGTGTGGATATGTTTTTGATTGCCTTAAGGAGACAAAAAGTGCGTGGAATCCAAACAGCAAAAAAGGATTCTATGTTGGGCCAATTATATTACTGTTGGTAAGATTTGTTTTAAATTAAACTGTCATTCAATATTTGTAGCCTTATGTGTGCAGATTCATTAAAGTGTATTTAAGTAAAACATTTTTTATTTGTCTTTGTTGTAGTTGCTATACGTAGAAAGTGTTCGATGCAATTCAGTGAAGATTGTACGATGCAGACCAGCAATATGTTGTTGGAGTGTTGATAAACTACGTGAGCGAGAAAGAGTAGAGTGTAGGACAATTGGTCTGGGTATGGGTGAATTGCAAGATCCATTTCAATTCATCAATGAAGCATCGGGAACTGGTAATGTAGGGCAAGAAAAAGTTCGGGTAATATTTTATTGTATTGAACAATGCATATGAAATTTATTATTTGTTTATTTGGTATAGTATAAATTAATTACATTCATAAATTATTGACAGGGAAATGATGCAAGAGATGTAAGGTGTAAGGTAGTAATATAATATAATCATAACTAAATAATAAGTTATTAGTACAACAACTAATATTGTGTTGCTTTTCGTAGGGAAATCATGGAGATGATATTTTTAGTGGAAGTTGGGAAAGTGTTGAGGTAGTTAACTACCTATTCACATTTGAATAATGAATTTCTACAGTATTAATTAATACTAACTGACATATTAATATTTTTATTTGGTTTGTAACATAATTCTATTGTGGTGACCTAATTAAACAACTGTTTCAACAATAAAGGAGATGTACGACATGATATTGCAGCAAAAGAAAGTGTTGGAAGACAAAATAAATGATGTTGTCAAGAAATATCCTGATAATCAGTTGGTTAAAGAATGGAAAAACAAAGTAAATGATTTGTTTACTGAAGTTTCTGCATCAGAGGAACCAGAACAATCTCAATGGTGGTATGATAACGAGGCTGAAATTGAACGTACGCTGATTCTAGCTACAACTAACAAACAGTTTGACAACTCCCCGATAGCAAAATGTAGTATTCAAATGTCACAGGAATATGCAGATTTCGCGAATAGATCTGGAACAAAATCTTTTAAGAATACACCACCATCTAAAATGGAAATGCCAATTCCTTTGTCTGTAGTACCATTCAACAAAGATGAACATTGGGTTAGTAGAAGAGGGTACAGGCCTCGCATGAAATCCGAATATCTGAAATCTCCTTACGTTATACGGGTTGATATCATCAAAGGAGTTCCACGGCAGGAAAAACGTGTAGCAGAATGGATATTCTCTCTCCAGGGAGAGCCAAAGTAAGTTGCATTTACAATATTTTTAAAATTACTTAATTTTATTGTTTGCTCATTAAAAATAGTATTAATTGTTCACGTCTATTGCAGTGATATAGTTTTCCACACTCTGGATGGGTTTTCTGCTCAGAGGTTTCATATGGAAAGTTTTTTTTCCAACATGTGAACTATTTGTCCATGTCATTGATTGTTGGAGTCAAGTGTTGAATCTTGATGAAAGTAAGCGTGCACCTGAATCGCCCCTGAGAGTTTATTGCAAGACAGATGTGACGGTATAAGTTAATATTGTTCAATGTTGATTATATTATTTTTTAAATACAAACATATAAAGAAGTTAATGAGTTTTTAAAAATCGATCACAGAATTCGTAGCTAGAAAGTGGTTTAACAGAAAGTCAACGTAAAGATAAATTCATTGAGAATTTGGTGCTTTCTATTGAAGATATGGACACAAGCCTACGTTTTGTTGGACTTGTAAGAGATATATCTCCACAGTTTACTTACATGTGTATTTATCATTGATCAAATATGAATATTAAATAAAGTGAATACAATTGTAATTTATAAATGTTGCAGCTTTTCCTACCAATCATCCGTTCCTTCCACATTTTCCTTTTTGAGATCAATCTACAATAACCAGAGTTTGTAATCGTTGACAATAACAAAGTTGATGATCCTGATGGTGAGAGATATGGTCAGTTACCCCAAATCATTGTAAGTGATTAATAAAAATTACTTTACATACTTAATAAAATTTAATATGTGTTGACAATGTTTTTTTACATTTTCAGAAAGAGTACATAGTTGATTACTTAAAATCTCAGAATCATCCAAAAGCTGAGATGTTTTCACATGTGATGTCACATAGACTGGAAATGCCTTGGAGAACAATAAACAACAGCATTGATTGTGGTGTGTTTACGATGCGTCACATGGAAACATATATGGGGGGAAGTATGAATGAGTTTAAAGTTGGATTCAAGAACGAGTCTTCTGCACAAGATGATCAACTTGTTAAACTGAGGACAAAGTATTTATACAAAATACTCACTCATGAATATAATGTGCAAAAGGATTATGTGCTGCAAAAGGTTGATGAATTCCACAAGATTCCTTCAAAACAACGTTCTCAAATGTTGGCCATTGCAAAGGAAGAAATTCACAGGAGATTGGATGTTTTAAGTTAATTGTATTAAAAAAGTTATTTTAGTTATGACTTTAATGGTTTCTTTTGGATGGATTAAAAACAATGCTTTTGTATGCTAAGGATGTTAACTTGGGTTGCTGAACGTACAATACTTACTTTTGGTTTGCTAATTTTAGTAATGGACTAGTGATATTTTAGTATTTATATTTTTACATTAACATTTGAATAATTAAGTTATCTTAGAAAATGATGATTAACGTTGATGGTATAGTTTTACTGTATATTCAGGAATGATTCTAACTAACAACATTTGTTAATATGCTATTTTACTATGAACATACAATCAGAATTTTTAATAGTTAAAGTGAACATATCTATATTATATAATGATTGTTGGTGGGGTTTATATCTTAAACTATGTTGTTATTTAAATATTGAATAATAGCATAAACACTTACTTGAAGTATTCCTAACATATTATAATTTAAATGCAAATTGTTTTATCTTAAACAGAATAGTATTTAACAATGTTCATATCATCAATATGTTGAAAATAATTAATGTATTTATGATGTTATTCATTGTTGACTAAACTTAAGGGTTTAATGTCACACCCCCAAACCAAGGATGGCGGAAACGTCCGGGGGTGGAGGACTTCATGTATAGCATCATAACCACAATTTTAATAGTAATTTAAGCAAACACAACCAACATATATATAATTGAAAAAGTTACATCACTTGTATGAATTACATGTTTCAAAATCAATTACAATATGTTGTCAAAATGTGAAAAGTTTGACGCCTTAACGTCCCATCCTCAAAAGCACTTGATAACCTGATTAGTGTCTTCCTGTGAATACAAGTTGTTTGAAAAGTGTCAACACAAAGGTTGGTGAGTTCATAAGCTTTTATTAATAAACTTAGTAGAAGTATTTCACATGTAAATGTCGCGTTTGTTTCAGAAAAAAAATATCCGATATTTCCCTTGAAATCCGAGATATGTAGCCTTATAATCAAAGACTAGAGTGTATGAGAAATCATCGATTTTTAGTAAAAATGTTGTGAGTTTCAAATGTTATGGAAAATAAATTTCTTTTATCATCCTAAACCTACTTCGGTTTTATGAAACCCCGTAAACTTCATGAATTGTTATCCCCCTAAGTGAGTCGCTATAATCATACTGTGACTATGTGAACCTGCCACAACGTTTCTCAGGCGTTGCGAAAATGAAATGACATTTGTCACCCGTAGACCTGCAGGTCCCACTGTAGCTAGCAGCAAGGTGTGGGGTGTCAAACCCAATATAGATCTATATACAAGTATCACGTTCTCCCTCAAGGAGATTCTGATTATAACTACCAGGAATTATATCCCGCACTCGGACGTACGGGGAGAGAGAGAGAGTCTCACAACATAGGTTAACAGGTTTACGTGAAATGTGTGTGAATATAAATCTTTCTTGTATGGATGTACCCTTTTTGGTACGAGTGCGTTGAGTGATGTATCATAAACTATACCTATTATAGTTTATCTAAAATGTATGTAATATGTATGAATCCTCTTATGGAAATGTATTAGTATTGTGAATTTATCAAACTATACTTTTTTATAGTCTAATGATACGTGTTCCAAAATGAATGAATAATATTTAATATTTAGTATGAATTTCATAGTTTCAGTTCATAATGGTAAACTAACAAGGAAACACATACAAATACTAAAACTTATGATTATACACTTTGCTCAACATAATACAAAGTGTTATGATATTTACATGCTGTTGGCAAAATTTAGCGATTCTGCCCTGTTTTGGAAAAATCATAGAAAAATCATACGAAGTCGAAATCTAGATCCGTAAACTCTGAGAGTTCACAAAATGTGTCTAGTTTGTTCATAATTTTTATCACAAATTAATATGACCTCTAACTTGGGTGAAAAAGTCCAAAATCACAGACTGGTCCGGATTGTTGTTTGAAATGATAGGCAGTTTTGTAAAAATCACCATAAATTGTAGAAAAATCGTTATGGAGATGTGCAAGTAGTCATTTTAAAGCTAGAAAACATGAACTATTTGCACCTTGTACAGTTTTGAAAGCAAAAAATGTTTAAGGTGCCCAAAACAGTCCGTGAATGGAGTTGAACTTTTCTGATGAAGGCTGTTAGAAAAAATCTAGTTATGTTCTTAGTGTTTTAACTTGTATTTCCCCCCTTGAAAACTTGAGAAAACATGAAAAGGTAGGGCATGAACTCACCTTGAGTGATTCAGTAGATGATTGTTGAAGAATGGAAGTGTTTAATTCAAGAACACTTGGAGATGCCTTGAAGGTTTTCGAGAATCTAACATCATAGTTAGGGAGTTTGTGTAAGCAAACCAAAGATTTGAGTAGAATGAAGTGAAATAATAATAGGGAGGATGAATTTTTACTTACTAAGTGTGGAAGAACACTTGAAATCAGCCTTGGATCTCGAAAATTTGTGTAGAAAGAGTTTGAGAGAAAAGTGGTGTTTGTTACTTAGTGGAATGAGAGAAATGAGAGAAAATGAGGAGTGTGGTTGTTTGTTTCCAGCTCAAAAACGTGGAGTGGGTGAAATTTGAGTGTAAGGGAACATTGAAGTGACCTAGGTAAGGTGAGAGGTGTGGTTAGTCAAAGAGTGGGTGTGGGGTGGTTGCTTGTGGCTTTGGATAAGGCAAAGTCAACACTCCACCTTTAATAATTCATCCATTTGATTTTTATTATTTAAATAATGATTTTCATCAAAATATGTTTAAATTATGAATATTTAGAGTTTATTATGTTAAAATATAATTTCTGGAGAAAATCCCGCTTTAAAATCATGAAAACGGGCTTAAAATG